TGTTTGTGGAAATTCGGGTGTTTATTGTAACCCGTTTTGTCTCATGTGTACCCACACACACGTCTTCGTGGATTCTAGGAATTGACGTAGAAGACATTAGTTTTCTAAACACAAAGATTGGAGCAAGGACTGTTCGTGGTCAAAGAACTCAAGTTATCATCCGAGTCGGCTTCCAGGTATTTTTCCTGATTGAGTTCTTGATATATATAAGTGAATGAGATTAATTTATTCGTGCATAAATTAATATAATCTATAGAGTATCTCAAAAGTTTGTGGAAAATTTTTGTTATACACGATCCGCCTCTTCCCCACGCACCACCGCGCTTCCGCTGCCGGATTCGATCCGGAGACCAACACCCGGCCCCTGAGCTGGCCCCTGGGCGCCCAAGTACGCGGGCCGGGGGCTTTTTGACTGCATTTTACTTTTTTTGTCATTTTTTGACGCCATTTTTTTCTAGCATGCCTAGAAAATCTAAGGATCGTGTCTACAAAGTTTTACTATTTTTTGACGTCGTTTTTATTTGATTACATTTTTAAAAGATGAAAAATAAAAAAAATCATAAAAAATAGAATATTCATTAGAAAATGGTGCCGCCTGTTGCATTAATTCTTAAAAATTATATCTTGATTTTAGAATGTAAAATATAAATAAAAAATGTAAATTTTTTATCCATCCCGGCCCCTGAGCTAGCCCCTGAGCGCCCCACTACGCGGGCTGGGGGCTTTTTGACAACATTTACTTTTTTTTATCATTTTTTCAGGCCATTTTTGTCAGCATGCCTAGAAAAATGTAAGGATCATGTCTGTTAAATTTCATTATTTTTTACTTCGTTTTTATTTTATTATATTTTTTAAAGACAAAAAATAAAGAAAATCATAAAAAATAGAATATTCATAAAAAAATAGTGCCGCTTGTTGCATTAATTCCTAAAAATCATATATTAATTTTAGAATGTCAAATATAAATAAAAATATAAATTTTTGACCCATCCCGACCCCTGATTTGTCCCCTGGACGCCCCACTACGCCGGCCGAGGGCTTTTTTTACAACGTTTTATTTTTTTTTGTCATTTTTTTAGGCCATTTTTTTTCTAGCATAAAAAAATGTAAGGATCGTGTCTGTAAAGTTTTATTATTTTTTGACGTTGTTTTTATTTTATTATATTTTTTAAAGACGAAAAATAAGAAAAATCAAGAAGGCAGTGTGACCAGTCATCTAAACTGGATCCCAAGAAGACCCCAGAGGCGACATAGGAGAAATCTCTAGGTTATGTGCGGATATAAATAAAATCATTTGCTAGAAAAATGATTACCAGCCTATTGGTCGCCCAAAATGGACCATTAGGAAGCCACGGGGAAGTCACATGGCTGCAATTTTTGGGCAGAGTAGGTAGATGAACGGACAGAAAGATACTGTGTAGTTGCAGTCTAGGTGAGTAGAATAATAGGCTACTCGAGAACAACCGCAGGGTAACCGTTTGCCTCATTTTTCTCTAAAATGTAATATGTGAGATATAAAAGAGGCAAGGCCCAAGAGAGACATGGGGAGAGCATTTGAAAGAACTGAGCCCCTTGTAATCGAAAAAGAGAAAAAGAAGGAAAAAAGAGGAAAATTTCTCAAAGTGGACGTAGCTCTTGCATTGAGAGTGAACCACTATAATTTCTAGCATTCTTTTCATTTCCTTACGTTTCATTCATATTCTGAAAAACTCAAAAAAGCTCATACACGGACAATTGCACTTTGCTAACTGAACTTAATTAGACATAAAGTGATTATTTAGACGTGATTTGGCCAGTAAACTAACCGATTACTAGATGGTAACCAGGTATATTTCTGTTGACGAAATTCCACCGTCAACATTACTCGTATCCAGTTTAACCCCTTTCTCCCACCCGCCTTCCGCTTGATAGTATGCAAAGTCTCAAAAGCGACTATATTATATTTTCCTTAATTAACCTTCCCGAACAAAAGCACTTTTTCTATTGTGTGCGGAAGGCTTCTCTGTTTTATTACGTAGAATGGAGAATGGAGGCATGACAGTATTATTTTTGGCAGGGTGGATGTAGGTGATTGTGAGGCAATCAAAGAAGTTGTGAAGAAGAGCTTCCGAGAAGGAGAATTCTTACAAGGCCGGCTTCCCTTATGGCTCGGGTTCTCAAGGCTAAATATGGATTTTCTTAATGCTTTTGGTTTGAATGATAGGCGTATTAAGGAAGTTTTCTGGCGTGTTGATTGGGACGATGTTATGAATATACCAATCAGCTTTGCCCAACGACAAGATGACTGGGTCTGGCATTTTGCTTCAGTTAAGTCTGGGTATAAGCTTGAGATGAATCAACGACAAGGAGAACTATGGAGATGCTCACTGGTGGAGTCGACTATGGAGAACTAATATCCCAAGTAAGATTAAAATCCACGCTTGGCGAGCTTATCACGACGCTTTGCCAACAAGAGCACAACTTTCACGTCGAGGTTTAAGTTTGGCAGGTACATGTCCTTGTTGTGGAGAAACGATAGAAACTGTTTCTCATGGTTTTGTTTCCACTTCTTCAAAAGTTTCCGGGAGGTCCAATCTATTTTTTATGCTCTTCCATTGCTTCTAAGGGTTCTCTTGAGGATATTGGGTCTTCTGCATATAGTTTTATGGAGTATTTAGAGGGCCTAATTTTTGAAGACCAAAGGTTTGACCACAAGGATATATTAGAGAGAGCTGGACGTGATCTTGGAGATTTCCACAACAACGAGTCTGTAAATGAGGAATCCATGTAGAATAATAAATTGGAAGCTCCTAAACCAAGGATGCAGCGTTTGGTGCAAGAAAAGTGGAGTTCTCCTTGTGTGGGCATGGTTAAAGCTAATGTAGATTCTGCGTTTAGGGACCATCTCAACCTCATTGGCATCGGAGTTGCAGTGAGAGACGCGACGGGGTCCTTGCTGAGTGCTGCTGCTATTCGTATTTATGGGTGTTTCCCTCCTTACATAGGTGGGTTTCACAGTTGGGTAATTGAGTCTGATGCGGTCAGTGTCATTTCTGCAATTCATAGACCGGATTCAAGAGCCCCTGAAGCATCAATGTTGATGATGTTAGAGATGCTGTTGCTTCGGCTACTAGCAGTTTTGTTTGCTATATTTCTGGTTTGGGAAATTTTGTAGCCCACTGCTTAGCTGGTGATGGGTGCTTACAGATTTAGAATTTTATTTGGGTTGACTCGATGCTATTGTTTGTTGGTTCTTATGTACTTGCTGATTTAATAATTGTGTAATAATAAGCTCAAACTTTCTACTTTTAGAAAAAAAAAAAAAAAAATTGTATAATAGAAGAAGAAAAGATAAAAAGGGAAAAAAAAAGGAAGGAAGCCCAAAAAAAAAAAAAAAAAATAATAATAATAATAATAATAATGATGCGAAGCTTTTTCACACGGCACTATGTGAAAGGCATTCACTTTTAGTTATATGTTTCTTATATATGAAACATGCAGTCTGTCTTTTTAAAATTTATTATTTACTTTTTGCATTATTATTTTCTTCATAGTTTAGTTTAGTGAAAATATTTAAGTGAAATAAGGAAGTTGGTCTGGTAAACTCCCGTAGAATAATTTTTTTTTTTTTTTAAGTTTTTAGTGGGACGAATTAGGTAAAAAATTATTTATGGGGTACATATTAAAAAAATTGTATAGGAGAATGACATGACTCGTTAATGATGAGCTTGGAAAGTTAGTTGGTTAATAGACCGTTAGAGTATTGTAGCGGAGATCGTTAGAGTATAATTGATTAGTAGCTTGTTGCTAGTAGTTTGTTAGAGTGGGGTTAGTGGTATAAAATGGGAATTAGCAATTAGGGAGGGACAGTCAGATCATTTGGGATTTGGGGCAACCACCATTGTTAAGGTGTTTTTTGTAATCTTTCTATTATTTTATCAAAATAGTTCTATTGTTTTGTTCAAATTGCTCTATTCAAGTTTTGATCTTATCAAGTGGAGCACTTTCTTGGGCGATTCAGAGAAGATAGAGACGACATATGGACTTTGGCAGCGAATAGAGAAGCCAATGTTTTCCGGAGAAAATCCTGGAGAGTAGATTACATAGAAGAATATTATTAGCGTTTATACCTTAAGGAATAAATATAATAATATATATTAAACATTTTGACTATTTAATAAAAATTTATTTATTTCATATATCAAGTATTTTGTTATTTTTAAACTCATATTAATTGAATGTATAATAAGCAGTCTGAAACAGTCGCTCTAAATCTTTAGATCGTGTATATATTGTGAAGAATAAAATTGATAGTCTAAATAATATGATCTGCTATTGATGAAATAAAGTTGGACGTTTTATTTATGTTAAGATTGTTATGTTGTCTACTTTCTAACGAAGATGACGTGTCTTGGTCATCAGAGGTGAGACTCCATAGGTAGAGACATTGATATAGTTTCTAGTGGTAAAATTTATATTGGATCGGACCAAAATTGAATCGTTTTAATTAATAATTCCGTTTGAATAAAATAATTTACTTTTGGCTTAGTTTGGTAGTACTGTGGATTTTAGAAAAATTACTTTTAACTGTGCTGAAGGAAGAAACAGTTGTTGCAAGAAGCAGCTGAGAGTTTGGTAAACTGTAATTATAGTAGCTGTGCTGGTTCCAAAATCAGTGTAATAGCGTTTGGTAAATTTTGAGGTTGGATTGTTGTGGGTATGTAAAATGACCAAAATAGACATGGTATGAAACTTAAATATATATAATTATTTTTTGTATTTAGAAATACTTATTTAACTTAAAAAAAAAAAAACATAATGCTATGATTTTGAGTTTTTTTAACAATAAATTTATGATAATTAATTCTCTTTTTTTTTTCATTTCTTCATTCACAATATAATTACAACTAAAAGGAGCATTAGTGAGTAATCAATTTATTGAACAAAAATATACATTCCATAAACAAGTTAAAAGCTTGATCGTCAAATGACCAAGTTACATAAACAAGTTGGGTCTTGATGCCTTGTATGTGGCCTTCAACTTCCTAGTTGGTGGTCTTCAGTTTCCTATTGATATCCATACACACACACACACACGTAAATGAGCAAATTCACACATTGATACCCATACACAAGAAAAAAGAGCAAATGAAAATATCATTTCAAAATACACACATTCATATCCACACACACACGTAAATACACACATTGATATATCATTTCAGAAAGGAATAGTTCTTGCAAACATATATATCCATAACTACATAAGCTACGACAAAAAGAACCAAGCAGCAAAACTAATTGGTAGCTAAGATTTATCAAAATTTGGAGTATGAAACATTAATTATATCGGAAATCCATATCATAGCATCGGAACACTATGAGTTCCCCTTTGTAATAAAGCTGTGGAAAGGTTGGCCAGTTTGAAAAGACTTTCAGCCCCTGCCTAACTTCCTCATCAGTCGTGATGTCAAAGGAGCCAAAACTCACATTCTCCTCTTTAAGGGCATTAACGACTTTGGAGCTAAAACCGCATCTAGGAGCATCTGGGGAGACCCTACTCTTCTTAATCCAATTGCAGTGGTGATTCCATGAGAGGATGAAGAGCCTTCACTTAAAACTTTTTTCATTCTCTTAAAAGGTGAAATAAAATTTAGCAAATTACTATTTAGATTGCCCATACTAGACCCCATTTTACCATCCGCAATATTAGCAATTCCTGGTGCTGTTGCAGAAATAGCCATTTCCATCTGCAACGAGAAAATATGCATGAGCATGACTTGCAACTGATGTCAGACTTACCAACTGCTACTTTTGTAAGCCCGGGAAGATCAATAAGGGTCAAGTTGACAACTGCCATCATCAAGCAACAGTAGAATGTGTCAAATTGAAATTGAGAATAAAATTGCACTTCTAGGCTAGTGTACTGCCCTAAAATGAATACAAATTCAACCTTCATCTTACCGTTGGGAGAATAGATGCTAAGATGAATTGGAACACTAGAGGAGTGGTGCCTCACAGATATAATCAACATTGTCATGTAAAATGAATATAACTCATTAACTACATACATTTAGCTCTCAAAGGAGTGTTGCCTCTAAACACCCTGAAAGGAAAAAAAAATACACACACACAGAGACACATATTTAATAGGTCGTTAATTCTATGTTCAGAAGTATGTAATAAGTTAAAACAAAGAGCAAACATGGAAGCTTGAGTAAAGAATAAAGATGGAATCGATTCAATCACATTCCAACACTAGTCCAAAAAGGGAAGTTCATAATAAAGTAATTACCAAAATCAGTAAATCTTTTTCTTGAGAGATGGAGAAACTCCGCATATTCTCTTATGCCTTCAGAAATCTTATGAAGTTGCAACACAAGAGGACGCCGAGTAACAATTCCTGCACATATTTTGCACGCATCAGTCCCACAATCTTCTATATAATTGAATCTCATTGCCACACTAAATCTAATCTTATAGCAGATCATCAATATATTGATATTTAACATAACATCAACGTACTAATATAAATCAAACATACAAAAAATTGCCTAAAATGCAAAATATACAAGTATCAACTAAGAATTAAATAATATTTATATATAATCCGACCAAGTTCTGACCACGGAAAGTTTGTTTCTCCGTGTAAGAAATGTAGCCTGTACATATGCAAATCGATTCCACCGCATATCACAAACGGAAATCGCATTTCACAGAGAAGAAATTTCAAGCAAAATCACGTGGAAACCAAAGCGATTACAGAAAAATTAACTCAATCTGAGCTTTAAGAAAGAGAGTCAAGTCGGTGTGGGGGGATCGGGAAGCTGACCTGGCCACCAACGACGGCGATCACCGGGAGAGAGTCCCAGAGAGTAGGCAACGTGCTGCCTTCGCCATGGTCGCCGAGAGCCGTGCAAGCCCTCTGGATTATGTTCACCAGAGAGATTAGATTCTCCATCTCTCACTGATCGCTACCGAGATCGGAACGGAACGGCGGCGACCGTGTCGACAGGCTCAGATCACCTGGATCTGAGAATGGCGGAGTAGAGAGAGAGAGAGATTTGCGGTGGAGACAGAGGGATAGTTTGGGAATTAATGAAATTTTTATTAAATGAAGGCAGATTCCCGCACAATCTAGTTCTGATTTTGAGCTCAAATTTCACACAAATTGTTGAAGAAGTACTTTTTGGGTCTTTTATCAAACACAAAAAATAACTTTGGCTAGGTAGAGAATTCATTTTGGGCTCCCAAAATCTCTACCTGTAACACCCATTTTTCTAAACCGATAAAATTCTTAGAAGTAGATGTTAGGAGTTAACTTGAATGATGTTATGGTGTTATATATAGTTAATTCTAACATTACATTGAGTTATATTTTACAGGTGAACGCGACGAGGACTCGATGTGCTAAGAACAAGTTCATGTCATTATATGAAAATTTTATGTGATTTCATATTTATTCTTATGATTTAATGAATTAGTATAATGTTATGATTTGATAATATGTTTCTTTTTATATGACATATATACATGATTTATTTTGTGTGTTACTTTGTGGTTTATATGATATGTGATATAGTATTTTAATAGGAGTTAAGAAAGTAAATAAATATAAATTTATACAGTTTGATGTGCCATCGATTATACCCACAAATATCTCCATTAGTCCTATATTATACTAGGAAACAAATCACAATTACTACCTATGCTTTGGCCAAATTACAATAGGAAGTCTATCCTCATAAACGCACAGTGGAAAAAAAAAATGGTCAGGTTCACGACTATACATTCTCTTACCTATTATATACCTTAGCTATGCACATAGTCAAAGGAAGGGGAGAGTAATCATCGTGCAATATGTTCTAAGATTCATTATCTCAGTGACAGCCGTAGTCCCCAATGCACGCCTGTAATATTCAAGAAGATTCTAAAAATAGTTTTGGATTTATTGCTCATGATTTTCTTACGCGTTGACCAAAAAAAAAATTGATATATTTTTAGAACCGCCATTCTATATCCTCTCAGTTGCCTTGATATATTTTCTTCTCTCTCTCCCTTCCTCTTTTCTCACATTCTTGAACACCACAAGAGAACTTTTGTTTATTCAGCCACCAAACTCATTTCCTCTTAAGCCTTTTTGAAGTCATCAATCACTCAAGATAAAATTTGGAGATTGTTAAGGTACGATTCTAAATTATTGATTCTATGATTTTGAGTGTAGAATTCTATTAGACTCTATGTTAGTCATAGTTATTATTTGATTGTTTTGTTGTGTGATGCTTATCATTTTTGTATATAATAAATTTCTGCAAGCATACGGTGTCAAGTTTTGAGTATAGGGTGAGTGAGTATCATCTTCACAGGGATTGGGTTTAGAATTGCCGTTAAGTACTGCGATTATTGTAACTTAACTTTATCTAGGCAACCTAATAAAATGATGATTAAGAAAAAAAATAAAATAAATATAAAAATAAAAATAAAGTATCTATACACAAATGGTCTAGGGACTTGATTTCGCTTTATTATTCCTATGTTCATCATATTATGTAATCGCTAATCAATTCCGTTCAATTCATTAATCAAGGCTCTAATGTC